GCCTGACATACAAACAACTTGGGTTAATTAGGTTAATGGAAGATTTCATCTGCCTTTTGTTATCTATAGCGGATACCCAGGTAAACATCCAGATCTCAGCTGTATGGACTTGTAACCAAGCCTCCCTCGGGAACCCTTGGAGTTCGTAAGTCAAGGATTCCCTGTATTAGCTTTGCAGTTTCCTCAGCTGGCTGAATTGGGTTGAATAGAAGTCTTATTTAAAGCCACTCCTGTCACTAGCCAAAAGCTTCTCCATTGGAGCCAAATGTTGGAGAATTTTATTAAAATTATCAAGTGTATCTTTACAATGCTGAAAACAAAGTAGTTTGGGTATCATTTAAATGCATAGAGAAACAAACTTTGGTCTTATTTGTGGATTGCTGGAATTTTTGGCAGCCTTCTTTTCCCTCAATATTTTTTTATAAAAAATTCCTAACATAGAAAAGTTGAAAGAATTGTATAGTGAATATCCATCCATATACTTAACATGTCCGTTCTATAATTTGTAACTGCATTTGCTTACATATCCATTGAACTTTTTTTTTTCCATTGAACTTTTTTGATAGTATGTTTAAACTCTTGCTCTCTGTGTGTGTCTGTGTGTGTGAAATATAGATCGGTAGAACCTACTGGGTAGGTACCAGGTACTTTGAGTGGTCTGGGGGGCTCACTGGTTCTCTGATGCAGTGGTCTTGGGAACGTTGATGACTGTTGTGATCCATATTATCTGGTTGCGAGCTTAATCATTTACTTTCAAATAAATTCCAACTTGATTATGTTACAGAAGCAAAAGGAAAGATTGATGATCAGGGAGACCAAAAACTCCTAGCCTGCTTGTGAAATGATACAAATACTGTAATATAAATAGCTATCCTTTATTGAATAGTTACCCTGTTTTCAAGCTTCATTTCATTGTAGTTCTCATAATCCATTAGCTGTAGGTATTATTAGCCACATTTTATGTGGATTAGGAAATTAGGTTTAGTGAGATTGATTTACCTAAGTTACCTGTCAAATGGCACAGTGGGTATTCAGACTCAAGTGTGCCTGTGCCTTGAGCCAGAAGTCTGTCCTGCGGAAAGTTCTCCCTTATCGGAGAATTTATATTTTGCGTTTGCTTATGTCTTCATAATTATATAGATTTGGGGCCCACACCTAATTTGAGTCTAGTTTAGTGGCATTCTTGTGAAAAAGAATATATCATATACTTTTTTTTTTTTTTTGGTACCAGGGATCAAACTCGGGTCCTTGAGCTTGCGAGGCAGGCAGCGGAACAACTGAGCTAAATCCTTGGCCCTATCATATACATTTTTATAGCTAACATTTTTATGGCTGAAGATCAATCTACCTATCTTCCTACCTATCTGTCTATTGCAGTATTGGGGAATGAACCCAGGGCTTTAGCATTGGTCTACATCCCCAGGCCCTTTTTAATTAATTTTTTTTTCCAGTACCAGGGATCGAGCTCAGGACCTCACACTTGCAAGACAGGCATGGAGCCACTGAGCTAAATCCCCTGACCTCCTTTTTATTAATTTTGAGACAGGGTCTTGCTAATAAGTCACTAACTTGCCCAGGCTGATCTCAAATTTGAGATCCTTCTGTCTTAACTTTCTAGAATGCTGGGATTACAGGCATTAATTCTTTTTTTTGGTACTGGGGATCGAACTCCAGTCCTTGCACTTGTGAGGCAGGCGCCAGAACTACTGAGCTAAATCCCTGGCTCTCAGGCATTAATTCTTGAAGCGGGGGAGGGCCCTTTTTCAACTGAGTCATCCTGCGATTTTTACTGACCAGTTTCATTCTCTGAAGAGTGAAGGAGTTTCCCTCTTTTCATTTGTTATGGAATATAAAGCATTCCTTCTACAACTGAAACTGGTAAATATTAGCGAGTATATTTAAGGTATGATATTGGAAGTTCTTTCCTTTTCTTTTTAAATGAGGCTTTGGGGGTGTCAGCCAGATAGCTTTCTTACTAATACAGAACAGAAACCTAAGCAAGTACCCTTCCTCCCTGGCTGCTCTTGGTAAAAGCCTCACTTAAGTTTCTCTGATGACTTTCAGGGCTTATTTGTGTGAGCAACAGAAGGAGCAGTGCATTTTTTAATCTTTGGCGTGTGGAAAGCCAGTTTTTCCAGCACTATTTTTTTTTTGGTACCAGGGATCAACTTAGGACTTTGAGCTTGCGCGAGGCAGGCAGTGGAACCACTGAGCTAAATCCCTGGCCCGGAGCAGTGCATTTTGATTTAAAAACAGAATGGAGGTATGTTTTCAAAGCAGTAGCTATTAATCTTTTTGGTACCAGACTAACCCAGATTAAAATTTTGAAGGAAAAAATAGGGACTGAAAAGTAAAATTTGAGCGCCTCTTTTTTCACAAATGTGTACCTCATAAAATTAAATTAATTACATTAACCAAAAATCTATATCCAGGATATTTTGTTCAGTCTTTAAGATGTCAGTTTCCCTCATTTAGTTAAGAAAAACTAACATGGATATTTCAGGTACTAGACAGGGCCAACCCTGCTTAGCTTCTGAGTCAGACGCCTTCAGGGTGGTATGGCTATAGACTAACATGGATATTTGTAAGCTAAGGTTCTTAGGCATAGATGAATTCTCTGATGATTTCTACCCTTCACTTTTTCAGTTTGTTTCTTCTACAATCAGTGTATTTTCTCAGAACTACTAAGACTGAAGAATTAGATGAAATCCTTTGCCAGTTTCTAGCTTTAGGCTTCCATTTCTTTAACAACAATCTTTTCATACGTTGTATTTTTTTGAATGCCCCCCCCCCTTCATAGCAGGGATTGAACCTGAGGCCTTGAGTGTGCTGGGCAAGCACTCTGCCGCTGAACTACATCCCCAGCACCCCTAGTATCTCTTTCTTTTTTCTGTCTTCTGATGCAAATATTCAGGCATGGTTCAAGGCAAGTTACACGTTTTATTATTTTAATACGCACAACAACTCTGTTAGGGACTTATTTTTGTCCCTATTTTACAGGGTGGAAAGCAAAGCTAAGAAAGGTTAAGCACTGTTATTCCATCGAGATCAATTCTGGTACACTCACAGGTAGGGCCAGAATTTGAACTCACGAAGATCTAGCTTCAAAGCCTATTTTCTTTCCATTTTATCATTCTGTTGTATGATTAGAGTTGACCATGTTTTTTTGATCTCTATTCTGACCGTGTCTGAATAAAAAGACCAAATTTTCAACAATGAAAGGGGGTTTTATTTTCTCTTACACTCCTGAATTTGTATGTGTGTGTGTGAAATTACTGATTTTGGGGTCGGGGTGGGGGTTTGTGTGTAAGTTAGACTTTGAGGTTGTGAAATGTCAAGTATGCTGAATTTACTGGCTAGATTGTTAAACTTAAAATAAAGGAGGCGAGCTGAATAATCTCTTGCCTGTTTATATAAATGGATGTTTCAGATACCAGACTCTGACAGAGACAATTCCACTGACTGAAAAGTGTGTATGTAGAAGGCTTGTTACTAAACTTAGCATCGTTTTCAGGAAGGAAAACCCTAATGGTTTAGAACAGAACTGAAAAAGAATTTAACTCTGAAGAGTAGATAAACTTTAAATATTAAATGGATGAGGGAGCCAGGTGTGTTTTTCTCCTCTCTCTTGGGGATAGCCATGGTAGGGAACCAGCTGCCCAGTGGTTTTTGCTGAGATGGCAGGCTGGGTCAGCATTCTGGGAAGGTGGTTCAGTTGCCGAGTGAATTTTGTGAGACTTAGCATCTTTCTTGACAAAATTATTGTTCTTCCAAACCTTGTGCTTTTCCTTATTCCAGCCTTTTGTACACAGTGAAACAGGAAGGAGAATGAATGTGTTGACTTACTACATAACCTTAGGTGTGTATTTTTAGTTTGGACAGATTAAATAGGGCTTTCAGTGAGATAGTAGAGAATCCTGAGAAATTAATTTTGTGGTTGAGGTCAAAGGAAGTTGGGTTCAGGTATTGAAATATTTAGAGGTAATCTTGGCTTTTATTTTTTTTTGGTACCGGGGATTGAACTCAGGTCCTTGCAATTGCGCAGCAGGTGGCGAAACCACTGAGCTAAATCCCCAGCCCTATCTTGGCTTTTTAAAAGCCAAATAATAGAGAAAACTTGTATGTATGAAAATTAATATTATTTAACTCCGAAGATAATAAAACTTGGTATAAAGGAAAATTAAATTGCCTGGCTTGAAGATATGGGGAAAATTAGTTTTTAAAAATGTAAAGGACCAATGGAGCTCAACACTTGTAGCAGTTTCTGCTGTTTGTGCTCATTCATTTAAAAAATTTTTTTTTTAAATGTAAGGCAAGAATCTTGCATCATCTTTTTTTTTTTTTTGTCTCTTTTCAAATTAAGGGAATGCATTTTGTGAAGTGTTGTTCTTTTGTTTTGTAGTGTTAGAGATTGAACCCAGGGCCTTCATGCTAAGCTACATCCCCAAACTTTTTTTTATTTTTTGAGAGTCTCACTAAGTTGGTCAGGCTGGCCTTGAACTTGTGATCCTCCTCTCAGCTTTCTAGAGTTCTGGCTGAGATTACAGACTTGCACCACCAAGCCCAGTGTGAGGTTTCCCATGAGGTTTAAAAGGATAATGAGTACAATTGAAACAACAAGATTGTCAAAAGCCGCTTTGATTATACTGCGCACACGCTAAGTTAGGATGAGGAAATTGAGCTAGTTAGCTTCAAAAGCTTTGCTTCCTCCTCAGCTTCACTCTTCCCCATGTGCTTTCCTGAAACTATGTGTTGGATTCTAGCATAGAGGAAGAGTAGGTCCTCTCTCTAACCTGTTTCCACTTTTTCTCCCCTGCCTTAAAGTTCACAAATAGCCTTTCATTTTAGAATCTATAAAGACGTAAACTTTCTGGACCAAATGAATCTTTGGATTTTATGGTTCATATTGTGTGACACTGGTTGGGGGCAGGAGGGTGGAGATACAAAGTGTTTGGACCCTTCTGGTTTATGGGATTGTCTTTTTCCCTTTTTCCCCTTAGGAACGGCGTGAATGTTGAGGGGGCAACACACAAGCAGGTGGTGGACCTGATCCGAGCAGGCGAGAAGGAATTGATCTTGACAGTGTTATCTGTACCTCCTCACGAGGCAGATAACCTAGACCCCAGTGACGACTCGTTGGGACAGTCTTTTTATGATTACACAGAAAAGCAAGCAGTGCCCATATCGGTCCCCACATACAAACATGTGGAGCAGAATGGTGAGAAATTTGTGGTGAGTGTCAGCCCAACTCGATCCTCAGACATTTAGCTTTCATTCCCCCAGTCTCATCATTATGAATATTTTGGAGCAGCAGCATGAAAGACTGCTATGTAGGTCAGTTTATCTACAAGGAAGATGCTTGCACACATAAATAAAAAGCACGGACCCTGATTGACCACAGTGGGTGAACTGTACTAGTGATGATGAGTCTGTTTCTGCTTAGGTGCAATTCTGTTTTATTTCCTGACAGTTTCAGGTTTATATTCATATGTGTGAGTTTGTTTTGCTTGCTTGCTTGTTTGTTCATTTTGGTTACCATATCTTTGCCAATAGTAGCCTCATTTATTGTTGACTCTTTGGAGCTTTAAGACGAGATTAAGTTTAAAAGGCACTATCTTCCAAAATATTTGGATAACACAGAGACTTGTCCATTTTAGAATCAATGCCTTCCTACACTCCTCTCCACATTTTGTTCTTTTTTTATTCCTTTGGAGATGTCTGTGTGTGTGATTAACTCTTGGTTTTCCCCAAGTATACTCTGAATGCAATTTCTGTAAGTTTTTTACATATTTCCAATTTGTCATTATTGTAGATGTGTAAGAAAGCCCATCTTGAATTCCTGAATGCTGCTGTTTGTTCTTCAAAACCTAATTGCCAGTGATACATCAGTCTACTTATTTTCCTTCTGGTTGCAGCTTGCTTTATTTTCCTTTGATTATTTTAGAAGTGTTAATATAATGAGAAATGTTCATTTCTTTTATGCTTTGTAAAAAAATTCAGGAGGTTCTGTTAGATCTTAGCAAACGGACTGCACGTGTTTAAAGCTGGCCTATTGCCAGGCATGGTGGTGCATACCCTACGAGCCCTGGTGCTCTAGGGGGCTGAGGCAGGAGGATCACAAGTTGGAGCCCAGCCTGGGCAACTCAGAAACTTAGTGAGATCCTATTTTAAAGTAAAAATATTTAAAAAGAGCTTGGGATGTAGCTCAGTGCAAAGGCTTCGTTTGTCTGCCAGTATTGGATGGGGGTTGACCTATTGATTAAAGTTGTGGTCTCTAAGACTTGAATTTGTCTCCTCAGTAGAAATGAGCTACTAAACATTGATGGCAGTATTTGTTTTAAACTGGGGGAGATGAAAGCAGCAATGAAGCTAGGAAAGTTACAGAGAGATCAGCTATTGTTTTTGTCTGTGAGTTTAGCTGGAGGTGATAGCACACAGGTTCTCTCAGCATGGTCTGTATTTTTAGAAGTAGACATAAAAGTTAAAGTTTTATGAATCAAAAGGGATAACTGGTTCATAAGGTAGATAAGAAGTTCAAATCAGGGACAGGTCCCAAAAGTAGAGCAGATACAGATGTAGGGCTCTTCTGGGGATTACCTAGGACCTTTGGAACTTCTTGTAGACCTGAGAAGAGGAATGAAACTATCAGTTCTTTTTTTAAAAAATCACCCTTACTGAACATAACTTACCTTTGTTAACGTTCATCCAGTTAAGTGTTCAGTTTTATGAGTTTTGAAAAATATACAGTTTTATAATCACTACTACTACTACTACAGTAGATAGCGAGCATTTTGTCATCCCTTAAAAATTCTCTCATACCTCCTTTTCAGTTAGTCTTCTCATCTTTCTACTGCCCTGGTGAATCACTGATCTGCTCTCTGTCACTGTATTTTGCTTTTTTTTGAATGTCAAATAAATTATACAATGTGTACTCTCCTGTGTCTTTGTTCAGTTAGTATAGTCCTTGTAAGATTGACACACATTCTTGCATATATTAATAACTTGTTCCTTTTTAATTGCTGAGGAATAGTCCACTGAATCTTTTTTTCTTCTTTTTCTTTTGTTTTCTTGAGACAAGATTTCCCTATGTCATTCAGGCTGGCCATGAATGAACTCACTATGTAGCCCAGGCTGGCATCGAACTTGGAGCATCCTCCTGCCTCAGCCACCCAGTGCTGGGATTACAACCACCACACCCAACTGTCTCCTCTGTATGGATGCACATTTGAGTTGTTTATAGTTTGGGGCTGTTATGACTGACCTGCTATGAAATAACATCAGTGTACAGGTCTTTATGTAATTGTGTATTTTCATTGCTCTGGAGTATATATCAAAAAGTGGAATTGCAGATACTTATAGGAAGTGTAAATTTAACTTTATAAGAAACTGCCAAGCTGTTTTCCAAATAGCTGTGCCATTTTTCATTCTCATTTGCAGTGCAGAGTTCCATTTGTTTTATAATCTTGAACACTTGGTATTTTCAGTCTGTTGTTGGTTTGGTTTTGTTTGTTGAGACAGTGTCTCGCTATGTAGTTGAGGCTGGCCTTGAATTCACTATGTAGCTCAGGCTGGCCAATTTTTTTTTTCCATCCTAGGGATTAAACCCAAGGCCTCAGGGATGCTAAGTACACACTCTTACCACTGAGCTACATCTCTAGTCTGTAGTCTTTTTGGTTCTGTCTGCTCTTATGGGTGTAGTGGTATCTCACTTGGCTTTTATTGGCACTTAGCTAGTGACTCATGATGTGAACTGATTTGCCGGTGCTTAATGGTGTCATCCGTCTTGACTGTGAAGTATCTGTTCACCTCTTCTGCCCTTTTAAGAAATTGGACTGTCTTAACATTTTGTTGCAAGGATTTTTTTTTTTTTTGCACATTCTGGATACAGGTCCTTAATCAGATAGGTGTTTTGTAAATATTTCTCCTAGTCTTTGTCTTGGCTTTTCATGTTTTTAAACAGTATTTTGTAAAGAGTAAAAGTTAGAAACTTTGGTAGAGTCCAAATTATCAATTTTTAAATTTAATGCATAATGCTTTTTATGTTCTAAGAAATCTAACCCAAGAATACAAATCATATAGAAGTTTTAGTTATCGTAGTTCTCTTTTTAAAATACTTTTGTTGAGGTATGATTTATATGCTATAAATTTATTCATAGAAATTGTATAACTTGTGATTTTTAGTGCATTTACAGACTTGCATATGCATCACCAGTTAATTTGAGAATATTTTCATCGCATCAGAGAAATGCCATTCTCTTTAGCTGTCGTCTCCAAAACCTTCTGTCCCCCCAGCTGTAGGTGACCCCTGATCTACCTTCTTGGCCTGTATGTTGGCCTGTACTAGACATTTTGTATAAATAGAATCATATGGAATTTTTTTTTCTGACTGGCTTCTTTCACATAGCATAGTGTTTTCAAAGTTTATTCATGTCATCGGGTATATCAGTATTTTGTTTTTATTGCCAAATAACATTCCATTGTATGGATATAGCACTTTTTATCCATTCTCCCAGGATAGATATTTGGATTGTTTCCACTATTATGAAGAATGCTGTTGTGTACAAGTTTTTGTGTGACTATATTCATTTGTTAGGTACATTAACTCAGATTGGACTTGCTGTGTTATATTTAGACTAATATTTTTGCTCTGCTTTGTTTGTTTGTTTGTTTCTCTTTTTTTGGTACTGGAGATCGTACTTGGGTCCTTGTGCTTGCAAGGCAAGTGGCAGAACCACTGAGCTAAATCCCCAGCCCTTGTTTGTTTGTTTGTTTGTTTGTTTGTTTTTGGTACCGGGGATTGAACTCAGGACCTTGTGCTTGCAAGGCAGGCTCGGTGACACTGAGCTAAAACTTGGTCTGCTTTGTTTTTTGGGTTTTTGGGGGTTTTTTTGGTACTAGGGATTGAATTCGGGACCTTGGGCTTTCAAGGCAGGTGCCAGAACCACTGAGCTAAATCTCCGGCCTTGGTCTGCTTTGTTTTTTGAGACCAAGGGACTTACTATGTATGTTCAGGCTGGCCTTGAACTCCCTGTGTAATCTAGGCAGGCTTCAGTGGTAGTCTTCCTGCCTCAGCCTCCTGAGTACTGGGATTATGGATATGTGTGCCACCATATCAGCTTTGTTTAAACTTTTTTTTTTTAATTGGTGAGCCAATTACAAAAAAGTTTTTTTTTATTGGTGCATTTTAGATATATATAATGATCAGATTCATCATAGGGAATTTGCATCTGAACATGAAATATCTTGCTTCTTTTTTTCCCATTCCCTTCCCCTCCCTTTGTTTAAACTTTTGAGGAACTGCTAAGCAGTTTTCCAGAGTGGTTGTACAATAGTGTTCACTCTTATAATTAGATTTGTAATCCATTTTGAATTGATTTTTATGTATATTTTGTAACGTAAGGGTCAACATTCTTTTGTAAAAAAAATTAGTTATATTCTTGTCTTTTCTAGATGCATAATTTTTAAATCTTTAATATGTGGTAACTGCATATTTATGGGCCACAGAGTGACATTATAATGCATGTGTACAATGTGTAATGATCAGATCAAGGTAATTGGATATCTTTGTCTTGTTTGTGGTCTTAAAGGAAATAATTTCAACTTTTCCTCATTCAGTATAATTCATCCTGTGGGTTTGTTGTATGTAACCCTTACAGGGCTTAACTACATTCCTTCTGTACATAGTTTTTTGAGTGTTTGGTTTTTTTGTTTGTCTTTTAAGACACAGTATCACTCTGTACTCCATGTATTGAACTCCTTATCCTCCCAAGTACTGGGATTGTGAGCAGTACCACTGTGCTTGGCTTGAGGGTTTTTATTATGGAGGGATGTTTTATTATGGATGGTTTTGTTGGTTTTTTTTGAGGCCAGGGCTTGCTATGTAGTTCAGGCTGGCCTTGAGTCAGGCCAGGCTGACTTCAAACTCAGTGGTTCTCCAGCCCCAGCCTCCCGAATGCTGGGATTACAGATGTGTGCCACCATGCCCAGCTCATATGGTTTTTATTCTTCATTATATTGATGTGATGATATATTACACTTAATGATTTGCATGTATTGAACCATCTTTGCATCCCTGGAATAAATCCTGTTTGACCATGTTGTATAATCTTCTGTATGTGTTATTGGATTTGCTAATGTCTTGTTGGGAATTTTTCCTTTTTTATCAAGGATATTGAGTTATAATTTTTGCCGTTTGTTGTATACTTGTCTTGTTTTGGTATTATGGTATTGCT